TTATGGGAAAATGACTCCATTTAGAATTTATACATGCAAAGAATACTCGAATAAATACATGTTGCCAGGATCTTGGTGAGGTTTAAATCCTGGACTAATTGCTAGAATTCAGAGATTTTCTCGACTATCCACTGGTGGATTGACAGAATAAGAGAAAGCCAAACGTAATAATTTTGTAGTAGTAAATCGGTACAAAATATAAAGCAGAAAAAATTTTAAAACGTGTAGTGATGCACAGACATTTGTACTGTACATGAAATATTGATTGAATTAATTGTAAATTCCATTGATTTACATATAAGCGATTCTCATATTTACTCTACAAATATGTAAGAATTGCAAATTTTTCAATTTATTTTTGTTGTTTGTTTATGTAATATGTTTCATAATGTATGTTACATAAATTTTTACATCTTAGTAAAATATTATTACGTATACACATGACTTTATTATAAATTTTATAAAGGAAGATAAAAGTTTATGAAAAAAAAGTATGAAATTAATTGAGTGGTAATTTATTTAAAACTTTTAAATGTTTTGAAACTAATCTACATTACATAAAGGTATATCGTAAATGAGTTTGTTCACGATGTACTCCTAGGCCATTTGACTAATTGCCCTGAAACCCGGCAGTTGTGTTATCAAAATACTAACTTAGATAACGTCGTAAATATCACCGCATAATATTTATTGAATTTCTGTTATCATTTAAGTCTTTTTTACATTGGATTTGCTGGAGTTACATGTAGCGCCATCTATTGTAAAAAAATTAAAACGTAATAATATAAACAAAAATTAGTTTTTTAAAATTAACTTATATCTTTTCGTATAAATTATGTTTCACACAAAACAATATATTCGTTAAAGTAATAATATAGCTTGTCTACTTTGAAACTTTCATTGATAGTGTGTTGTGAGTTTTCACTTAGCAAACGAGCTAGACACCTGCAGTTTTCCAGGTTCTCTTTAAGTTAGTGACACCTAAATAAAAACGAATTTTACATAAAACTTTCCCCAGGAAGAATTCTCCTTGGCAAATCGCCCAGGTGTCGCGTTGACATAACTAAATAAATTAAACTAATTGTAATAATTTTTCTATAAACGTGATGTTCACGAAGACATACTTACCATGTAGTTTATGGGCATTCTGATAATGTTTATCAAATGGGTTTTACCACATACAATTTTAAAATTTATGATTAATCACGCAGGCCGTAAAAATACTGTGAGGGTTATTTTACAAACCATGGCGAAGCCGTGCATAACAAGCTAGTTTATTCTATTTTAACTTTTCTATAAAACTCTATAAAATATAAAGTTTAGTGATTGATCAAATGTCATATTTTGAATCGAATTTTTTCATATTTCTTAATGTTTTGACTCTCCATAAGCTCAAAACCGTAAAAGAATAACCTTACAAAATTCTGTGCACATTGGCAATTATTTTGTTTTATATTTAAGGATTTCATACACCAAAAGTTTTTAAATTCTGTATATGCAGAACATCAATGCCATTACATTTTAGAGGATATAAGTCGAAAAGAAGTGAAGATAGAGTTTGTTTTTTCACTTTTTCCTTCGATTGGACACCAAGTGGGATTTTACCAAACCCACAATGAGACACTAGATGGTAAGAAACAGGATCCAAATTTACCAACCCAAAATACTCTTTGGATTTTTCGACCCGTCCAGATAAAATCACAGGTCTTCGCGAGGTGGACTGCCAATTGAACTGCTGACCATCCAGCCATCAAATACAGATTGAAGGAGGTCATATGTTGAATTAGATCAGATTTTAATAAAATTTTTACTCATTATTGGCATTTAAAATTACTTAAAATGTCAACACTTGAAAATATAGATATTGGCTATTTATAATATAAAAACTACTTTTTAAAATGGTTATACTGTTGTTTTCTTCAATATTAGCACAAGAACAGTGTGCCCATTTATCACAACGGCTACATTTAGCCCAACTCTCTGTAGATACAAAGTATAACACTCTACAATAGAGGCATTCTGTGTCATTTGTCTTTTGTTTCTTGTTAGGCCTACCCTTGCTGAAGGAGCCTGTTTGTCCTCGCTGCAGCAATAAAGTCTGCCTCCGAAAATACTTCTGGATTCATCGGACATATTCATGGTCAACCTGGGGCTAGAATGGTACCCCATCTTGCCCCAAACGTACACTTTTCATACTGACTGCAAACACAGGTAAACTTCATTTCAAAACTAAACAATTACAGTCTTAAAGGTTACTTCGAATACCATAATATCTTCTTCTAGAAGGTAATGTAAAAGTTTACAATGATACTTACTTTGTAGAAACTTTTCAGCAGGCGTAAAATTAGATGAAGTATTGCTGAAACGTGTCTTACTTCCAAATAAAGAGAGCTATTTGGACGTTCTCTCGCTCCGTGATCTATTTCGAAGTAGACATTTAGTTCCTCAAATAACAGCTAGATAAAAGCTCATTAACCACAAATAAACAGACGTCCCCGTCTTACCCCATGACCCCATCTTGCACTACCTTCCCCTATATATATTCCGCTACAGAGATTTTTGTTAGCTGAACTCCTTGTAGATTTATTGGCGAGTTTGAACGAATTAAGTGTTGATAGATAGGGATGGGTCTTCAGATGTGCAATAAACCTTTTGTTTTCGGATCCGGTGATCCGATCCGGAAATATTCCAAAATTTTCTAATCATTTCGTATGGAGTCAATAAAAATGTTTTATTGACTCCATACAATTCAGTATCGGGTTTACCGACGAGACATCTCTGTATGCAGTTTAGAAAAAAAACAGTGGTCCTGATCATTCCAAACTTGTATGTCATTATTCCTTTCTTAATCAGAAGGTCTTGGGTTTCATTGAATTTATCCTGCAGCTCTGAGGAACTGGGACCTAGACGGGTGGAAAAAGCCTCAGGAATTTTTCAGGTGGTGGTCAGTTCGGATATGTCGGGCCCCATGCTTCACCATTCTTCCGTCCCATTGTGGTCCTGCCCGAATCCATAATGGGCTTACTAAAACATGCCCGGCCCACCAGTGGCCAAGCGGTTCTGTTCCCCAAATACTGGGAGTTCGGTCGTGGATTTGCGCCTGGCCGGGACGGGATGGTTACGTGGAGTTTTCTGGGTTTATAACGCCTAAATAGAAGCCAGTTATCCTTAAATACCTCCCGGAAGGCATTTCCACTAGGCAGATCGCCCAAGTGTTGCGTTGCCGTAATTTAACAAACAACAACGATAAAACATGACCTTTTAGGAGTTTTATAAAAGTCCACACGACAAGTAACTTTTAATAGATATTAAATTTCAAATAAACTTTTTCCATTCAATGCCTTATCCCGTGAATACCGCAGGTTTGGTTTATTACGAAAATCGGATCGTATTAAAGAGATGAATTACGTAATACGAAACATAACGTCATTGCTGTATCACGTGACAACTCCAAACTCCATTATATGCATCCCAGATGCAAATTTCAGCTAATATTTCCTTATACAAAAATTTGGAACTAAACTTTTTATTTAGAAAATTAAAATTTCATGGTCAAATTTGATTTTGTTTAACTGTCCGCCCCGTGAGACAAACTATTGCAATGATCCGTCAAAATGATCCCTTTAGAAAGACAGACACGGAAATCACAGGATTCGCCGCAAAATCCAAATTTTTAACATTAAATCGAGTCACTATGCAACAATAAAATTTTCTCGTTGTTGAGAGAGAATCTATTGTTGACTTGTGCGATTGTTTAATGCGAGTGCTTTTTTTAGTTTTGCTTCGTTTGCAGGGATTGTTTAAAGTAATGTAAGTTTACACTATGATCTTTGTAGATTTAAATACTCTTTAAATTTGATCAGCAAAATATCACAGTTGGCGGCGATGGGTTTCGATAAGAATTGATCGGTTTCTTTCGGAGGAATCGCATCTTTCCATTGTTAATTTTCCAATGGAATTGTTAAAGCAATATAAAAATTAATAAATAGCCTACTTTAAAATCTGTTATTCCTCGCTATAGTTTATAAATTTCATTCGTATATATATTAATATACCATATGAAATTCGTCTGAATCTTAATTAATTAAAATAATTCGAGTTCATTCCACTATTTTCGCAGTTGTTTTGTGTTACGGCAGTCAACAGAATAGTACAATTTTTATAAACTAATTCCTCTATCAAACATTAAAAATCGTTGAAAAGATTAAAATTATTTTATTATAATATTCTTTTCTAACAGGAATTAATCATTTTTGCATTAGAATAGGAATACTTCTCAATTAATTCTCTCATTTTCCTTTGCAGAATGGAGAATTTCAGAGAGTTGAAGAAGTTGCATATCTCGGACAATGCAGAGTCCGAGGATGACGCCTGGTCTTGGCCAGGTGTCATAAGGGTGCTTCCGAAAGATCCGGAGGAGAAGTGTCATACACTGGACGTCAAATGGGTGGTGGTCGTAACTCCGGACGACACCGCCTCGTCTCTCGTCCAATATCTGGAGCGGCGATATCCGGAAGTTCCGGAATGGACGGTGGAGACCGCACTGGATAGAAAGGAGTCCGAAGAAATGGTGGTAGAGTCCGCCGAGCGTAAAAGGCCTTGGTGGAAAAGGTTGTTTTGCTGCTGGAAGACATAAACCTCTCTTCTGGCCAGGCCTTCTTGCGCAGACTTCGACTTTCTACCGAATGTAACATCGCCACTCGGGAGTGACCTTTCACCCGAATATGACACTCACCAGGAATTGACCTTTCACCCGGCTACGACTTAAACGACTGGACTTGACTTTCCATCCCAATTTACGGACGGCTACTTCGACACTATTCGAGATTCGTTTAAAAAGCATATAGAACAACGACAGTGAGTTCTCGTGTTTTTAATTGAAGGCTGTTTAAACGACTATAACTGGCCAAAACAACTTATATTCTGCAGACATTTACACTGTATTTCATCCAGTGTTCTACTGCTAACAACTTTCACCGCGAAATAACGAATATTCGCCACTAAAAGGCATACCAGACGAATTTAAATAAACCCAAAAATACACGTACTCGTTTTGCGTACTCTAGAATCATAATTACTTCAACAATTAAATTTGTACATAAATGTTTATATTTAATAAAACTAATTAAATTTTATATTAAATGTTTACAAATTCGATATTTATTAAAGTTGCGCATTTTTTGATGAATTTATAATTAATAATAATGTTTATAACAGTTATGACGGATGACGAAAACAGAAAAAAATGTACCCGATTCATAACGAAACAAAAATATTTAAATTTAATGAGCCAAATATAATTTTAAACAGTTGGAAGTTTGTAGGAAAACAATAACATGAAAAATAAAATTTAATAAAAATAAAAGACAAGTTTTACAAGTTTAACGAAAGGACCCTTATATATTTTAATACCTTTCCAAGTGGGGCTATAGCACATTAATTCCGAATCTGAAGAAGAAGGTGCGGTTGGAAATATCGGTGAAGGAACTTCCGCCATCACTAATCCATCGTAAAGTTCGGGTTTGATCAAGCAATATAGAACCAATCCTACAAATACCATTACGGAACCTACAGTAAGGAAGACGATGGATACAACCATGTGCACTTCTAATGCCATGTTGATCTTTCTGGAAATAAATAAAGAAATAATCTAAATATACTACATTTAAAACAGAAAAATTAAAATGTTTTTCTATACGCAATAGTTGGATAAGGCAATGTAATACATGAGTGATCTACCAATGGGTATTGCGTGCCAGGACTTTCTATAGGAAACTAGCCTCTATTTTGGTATTAGACAAGTGAAGAAAACCCGGAAAACTCCACGTGGCTAGCCCTTTGGTGAGGTGCAAACACGCGACCGCAAACTGAATCAAAAAGTTCGAGGAGGAATTTTCAACATCTCTTACAAGGTGCTGACTGCCTCCATATGCCTCAAAATATAGATCGATTGCGTCGTGGTCCTCCTCGGATTTTATTTTATCCCGAAGTGTAACAGAAAATGAATTGTAAAGTGACTTTTATACTATGTTTCAGTTTGTTTGTTAAGTTATGGCAACGCAACACTTAGGCGATCTGCCTATGTGGGGTACCTTTCCGGGAGGTGTTTTTAACAATTTAACAAAATTTTCCTTAGAAATTTTAAAATAATACTATAGAAAGATTAGGGGCAGCAAGCCCCGATTAAGTATATAGTCAAACCTAAGAACAATGGCCACTGAAGGGAGCATTAAAAAATGGCCGTGGTATGCACTTTTATTTAAAACAGCAGTGGCGTGCCATGACATTTGATGATAGGGAAGCTATGTTTCTGTAAGAAGCCGACATCCAGGGAAAATCAGTTAATTGCGCGTCAATGATGATCTAGGGTCCATTCGTATCGTTTGTTCGACAAGCCAGTAAAAACCGCAGACTTCTCTAAATGTATTTTTAACATCACAATTACATTCCGAATCGCTAGCCACAATATAAGGGCTAAAACTAAAAATAAAATAATAAAACGTGTGGTAAATGTACAGTACGTACCTGCTACAAAATATTCTTCAATCGTATTAATATACTTTTAAAGAAAATTATAATTACAGTATATATAGCTTTGTAAAGAAACGTACATAAAAATAACAAAATATTCTTTACTTTTTAAATCTTAGTTAAATAGCTGCCTACAAGTGACTAATGGACGTACATAGCTGCGTACAAGTGACTAATGGTATTGATAAGTAATCAGAGACGGTCGTGGTAGGTGCATGCACGTGGGCTGCCAAATCCCGAGAGTGCCGATACCGGTCAATGTCAAATGCCTCTTTTGTCGCATCACTAGTATACCTCAAAGGAGGCGACAGGGTTATTGTAGATTTTAGACGTTTCTCGCCATAGCTATAAAAATCTAAATATGTTAAACTTAATAGATTGTCTGTCGTTTGTTTTCTAACTAATTTGTTTTAGAACCAGGGTTTACTGAAATTTCCAAAATCACTCTCATTGAACTAGAAAAATAATTTCTGTCCTTCTTATCTAATATTATGAAGAAATCAGTCCCCACCGTACTCGGTTAAGTAAAATTTCGGCTCTTTCAGCAGGGTTTTATTTATGTCCCTAATCACTTAATCATTTAACTTCTTAAGTAGAAATAAGTTGAAACCGGTTACTTCGTACTTGAATATTTGTAGTATTGGGAAAGAAGTGGAAAGACAAATTTTTATGACAATTGTATATTTAAGAAAAATAAATTCTAGAGCTTTTTTGTACTTTATGCATCTCATTCATTAAATTTACTTGTAAATGATGCTACCAAAGTAACAGTTAATTTTTTAATAAAATCTGTTAATAGATGACACTACATAATTCTAACTGTAAATTATGAATGACTGAAAAGTCGTGCAACAGGTTGCCAAATATATTTAATATGTATTTATAGAACCTCTTTATAGAAAATAGATTCACTTATTTTTCCAAAAAAATTAAATTCAGAACTTTTCAGTATTTGGGTATTACTGAATGAGTTGTTTTGCTCTTCAAATGGCCATGCAATACATATCGATGAACTATCATCAAATCATAATTTTCAAACAATAAAAAGGAATTTTTACTATACCAGTCGTGGTTCGGCTAAGAGTACAATAGGAATTACTGGAAGATGAAGATAGGACCTTGCTGGAATATACAATATCCTTTATTAAATGGCACTCTTAGCTCCTAAAATGTGGAAAGAATAAAAGAAAGTTCTGTAAATAACATGTAAGGACAATAATAAAAACTTTAGGTACGAGCTGCGTGACTTTCATGGCGAAAAATGTTAAGATATATTAGCAATAAATTAAAATTGTCTGTGGAAGTATCTGTTATGAAATTTGGTTAAAAAATAACTTTTATATTATTAAATCTAGTATTATTATGTAACCTCATTCTTTTAGTTTCATCTTCTTCATATAGCAAAATTTACAAAAAAATAGGAGCAGCAACAAACAAAAAGATAATTTTTAAAAGGAATTTAACAATATATCAAATGCTTCATACAGACAAGAAAGACATATACCAGAACCTAATACTAGGAGATTATAGAATACCAATATTAGACGAAAGGCGACAAAAAGAGTTATACTACATCGAATCCACAGGGAGGTCATTGAAAGAAAGGACAAAAGAGCATAAAAGGAATGTACAGAACTAGCAGCCAGTAACAGCACTAGCAACGTATGTTATAACAAACCAGACAGAGATCATAGTGGATTGGGAAAGAGCTAAAATAATTTTATTAATTGTTATAAAATAGTAAAACCAATTTTGAGGTCAATGCTGAGTTTTATTTTAAAAACTTTTAAATGCTAATAACAAGTTTAATCATCAGTAAGTCCGACTCAACTAGAAATATAAAACGTGATCCTTTAGCTCTGCACACCCTCCATCTTTAACTGTCAAAATATAATGACATCAACGCCATTTACATACAAATTACCATGTCAAATGTCGTTTCTTAATAATTAACCTATTTTGAAATAAACGAAATGTATTCCAACACACACACGTTCACGGAATTCTGTACTTTTGACTTTTTTGATTCAGGAAGTCTCAAATCGTGGAGTTTGGACTGGTTGCATTGTTTTAGCTTCCTTCATTTTAAAGAAATTATCTATTTTCTTGTTTCAGGTGTGATGCATTGTTTTTTTTTTCTGACGTAACGCACTGCATATTCGTCATAGCTTTCCATACTGCGCAACTGAGAAGTCTTGCCATAGGTCCTATGGCATAGGACATACAGACCATCTGAGTGATGTTTCTGGAGAAATGGTATGAATTTTTTTAAAGTATACTTTTTTATGTACACTTCTTCGTTGAAGATAGAGAGGGTGCTATGTTTCAGATTTTTCTTTCGAACTGATTGCTACTCAAACTGTACTGGAAACTGTGCTTCCCACGTCCACAAAATGTAGTCAAATCTCTATATTATGTAATTTATAAGAGAACTATGTAAAAATCAAATAAATATAAAAACCTTTCTAATATTAGTAAAGTACAAAAGGTACAATTTTGCGTTGCAAGCGATAATGTTATCAGAAAATGAAGTATTCCTTGATGGCAAACATTTTAAAATATAATTGAGGTACTGCAATTTAGCACCACACTCGATTTAGCTCCAGTTTATGATACCAACATACAGTGGTAGTAATTCCAACATCTGAGTATACTAAGTAATTATTTACTATAATTAAACTGATGTAAAGTTTACTATCAAAGAAGTTTTATATTGCTGCATACGTTATTTTCAAATTATCCCAGTAAATTAACATTGCTAATTTTTAAGACATTATAATTTTAAAATAATTTTTCTGAATAAAACTAAAATTAATCATGAAATTTTAAATTCATTTAGATATTTTGTAGTTAAAAGCGTGTAGGCCTAATAAATATTTTTAGTAAATATCGTGCTTGTTTGTTCATTGAATAAAATGCATATTTATAATCTGTATTTTCCTATATAAACATCAAAAATTTATTTATGATGAAGTATAAACATAAAGGTCATTTAATGTTTCATATATACTGGAGATAATTAAATCACGCGTCACACTCTCGATAGTGGATCATACAAATCTTTAAGTGAAAGCGTAAAGATGCCTCGTATACACCAGAAAGAAATTTGTTTTAACTGTTTATGGAAACCTATTTTCAATCTTGCTTTAGTGTTTGGTTTGGAGTTATATATTCCTTGTAATTGTCAACTAAGAAAACCTTCTTATATACAGAAGGTGTTGAAAAAGCTGCAGATTCAAATAATAGAATCTTTGTTATGGATATATTTTATTTTAAAATTATGGCAAACAGTTCCCGGTTTAAATACAATCGCTCCTTGTATCGGTCCTTATAATTTAACAAGAAGTGGACTTTCTTTAGTTAAGATGGTATATGTATACGCGGCATTCTTCTCCGCTTCGACATTTTCGTTTATTAAACATAACAAAATATTTCTAAATGTAAAACTGAGGCATGCCGTCTTTCAAAGTCAAATATTACACAAAGTAATTGACATACTATCTCTATTCTTATGTGTATCTTTAATAATCCATGTAGGATTTGTAACGGTATGTAATTTCTTCATGTTATTCCCAATTTGGTACAAAGTTAAAACTTACAAATACGAGGAAGTATATTGCTCTGTAATATTTCAACTGTGCAGTACTATAATAATGGAAGAAGTATTTTTTATTCTCTATATGACAGTAATAATTGGATATTCTTGCTTCAAAGAATTTGAACAATTATCTACAGAATTAACATCACTTCGTTGGTACGAATCAAATGTACGATGGAAGGTGGAACGAATCATGTCACGTCACGATAAATTATGGGTACTAATCTCACAGTTGAATAATAAAATGAATTATATGTTTGCTTCTGTACACGTTTTTCTAACTTTTGGAACGAGTTTCTCTTATTACTTCTATCTGTTTATAGATACCAAGGAAATAATCAAAGGCTTGTCCTTACTTTTCATTAGTACTTTGTCGATCATGTGTATTCTCTATGCACTTTTTACTTGCTGCTTCGCTTTTTCGGTATGTAAGAATTGAAATAATTATCTCGTAATTTTTTTTTTATATTTTAAATAAAATATTTGTCATTTTTATCT